TCTTAATTTATTTTCTGAAATAACAGATTCCGCCGACTCCAGAGGTGATTTTTATGACTGTTTATATGAAGCTCTGGAAGGAGAAGTTGGCGCAAAGTCGAGCATTCCTCATTTTCAAAACATGTGTGACCTCTCTGCCCCCGTTCCTGGGGATCCTCTGGTTCGCTAAAAAGGGAGGCCAGGGAAATCGCAGCCGTGAAAGGGCCCAATTTGGTTCAGGCTGCACGGGAAGGGGAAGAGGGTTCGAATTCTTCCATTCCCAAATGATTTTGCTAATTGAGCCCCCTCCCTCCTGGTCAGTTTGGTGGCGTGTTGAGAGCCAGTTTGGTGTAGCGGTTAGGAGCACGGACTCTAATCTGGGAGAATCGGGTTTGATTCCTCCACTTCTCCACATGGCGGCTGCTTGTGTGACCTCGGATCAGTCACAAGTTCTTTCAGAGCTGTTTTCTCAAGGGCAGTTCTTGAGAGAGAGCTCTCTCAGCCCCACCTACCTCACAGGGTGTCTGTTGTGGGGAGGGGAAGGGAAATGCGCTGGAGCTGTTGTAAATGTTGCGGTGTTCCCTACTTTAAACTGTAAACCCTGCGTCCCAGGAAAACATCCTTGTTTTTTTTATTACTGCCTTGAATCCTATTGTAAACTCCCCAAATTGAGTTGGATTAATGCTTTGATCTGAAGAAGAATATTTAGAAAAGAGGAGAATGAGAAATCCAGAAACCTCTTTATCAACGTGGCTTTATTTGAATACATTTACAACCAGGGCTATTTTGGGGCAGGAACGCACAGGAACGGAGTTCCGGCTGGCTCCCAAGTTGGCCACGCCCAGCAGGAACTCATTAGCATAATAGGCCACACCCAACAGCAGGAACTCATTAGGATTGGCTACATTTGGGGTGTGTGGCCTGACATGCAAAGGAGTTCCTGCTCCAAAAAAAAAGGCCCTGGGTTTTGACAACAAACAAGGTAAGAATAAGAAGCAAAAGGTGGGTGTGGCTGGATGAGCACACCTCTGGTAACATGGAGTGTGGCCTAATATGCGAATGAGCAGTGCTGTCATGGGTGTGGCCTAATATGCTAATGAGTTCCTGCTGTTGGGTGTGGCCTATTATGCTAATGAGTTCCTGCTGGGCTTTTTCTACAAAATGAGCCCTGTTTACAACTCTGCATTCTCACCACTGAGAAGAGGGGTCAGAGGACATCTCCCTGGTTAAGACAATGAGAGGCCAGATTGTCTGGCATCATGTGTTATGGGAG